TTTATATAGAAGAGTAGCATCTTGGCATGTTGGAAACATTTATTATGCATGTTAAGACATACATTCTGCTGAATTCAAATGAAAATCACTCCCCAAATAATGCATACAGAATTACAGTTGCAATATCTAAAGCAGCACTAAAAGTAAATACTGCTGCCATCCCACCTCATTATGGTATTGCCATTACTGGAGGTACAGGAGGAGTGTTGATATTACACAGCAGATAATGTACTGTTAGTTACTTGGGAAGATACACCATTTCTATATATACTATAACACTCTTCTAATCTAGCAAAAAAGGATTGAGGATTAAATTAAGGAATTAATTCAATATAATTATGTATTTATATATAATGTAACTAAAGAAACATACTTCATTTCAAAATATTTAATTAGTTTCAATTAAAAATTTCAGATTTTAAGGTAATGTTTCCTACAAAATAAAGAAAAAATGCCTATATGTAATCTACCAAATCTTTTAAATTATAATTTATTTACATGCTTTGATTAAATAATAAGTCAGGATTTAGTGTTTTTGTTTTACTTTCAACATAAAGTATATCTTAACTGGCAATTTTATTATTACTGAAGTTTTTCTTTTAAAAAAATCAATGGAGTTAGTAATCATTTCAAATGAGTTCCACATTCATCCAACCCCCAACAACTTTGGGGATAAGAATGTTGTGGTAAATCATAAACACACCTAATATTGGAATTTTGTAGCGTAGCATTTTGAAGTTAAATTCTAAACAATAAAACTGAAGAGTTCTCAGTACAACATTTGAATACTGCAAAGCTAGGCACATTTACTTGTAATGTCATTCAATCTTTTCCTTTGGAGCTTATTTCTGGGTAAAGAAAAGGATTGGCTTGAAGACTGAAAGAAAATTGTGTAAAATTCCAAAATCTACATTTAGATTAAACAAGACAGTTTTTCCTTAAACTACCGTAAATGAACAAGACAATACTGCTCTTGTATAAACATTATCACGTTGTAACAATCAGTGTACTGTATATATGCAAATATACATTAGTCTGATTACAAGGAACTTCCTTTTCAACTAATCTGACAAATCTTAAATAAATTTTTTTCTGTACGTTCTTTGTAAATTTACTATAACTTCTTTAAATACAGGGCTATTAAATATAGCTGTACTTTAGGACACTCATTTTTAAATATTGAATTTGATCCAAATCTACCTGCTCACCTCATTTCTTTATTTTTTTATACAAAGGTCTTAACAGAAATTCAATAACAAAGCAAAAAATTAAAATATAAAGCATGCTTTGTAATTTCATGTATTTCAAATATATCTATTAAAATAGAAACTCTGTGTTCTCTTTTGATATTAATATATGAAAAGAAACATGAATGTAAAGCTTTTTTTATGAGTGCCTGGTAGCCAAATTGTGATGTGTTGGTGGTCATCATGGGGAAAGAGGTTGTGATACAAATGAGAGGACTGAAGTAGAGGATGGTGGAAGGGAAGTTACTGAATTCACAAAACACGGTAACAGAAGAAACCATTATCCCCGGGGTAGGGGGGGGGGAATTCTCCCATTGCCAAACAGCTTTAAATGTAAAGAAAAGTACCACACATAAAATAAAAAGAGATTCATATACTGATAAAGCTTTGTTTTTGCTTGAAATTCATTTTATTCTAAAGGATTTTAAACCAAATCAATTCTTATTGCATATGTAATATTTTATGCATAATCCATAAATTATACTCTGCCTTAAAAATGGATGACAATCTCTTTCCTTAAAAAGGATTGGTATAACATAGAAACATTATTATATAAGATTTTACAAGATTTACCTGGCTTTGTATGACACCTGCTATACATGTGAAATCTCAATTAAGCATATTTTATCATGATTAATTCCAGTGAAGATACCACCATTGTTCTAAGATATCCTATCCAACACCGTATAGCTGACATTTTTAAATTAAGACTTGAGTATAAAAAAAATATACTATTTTGATATGTTAAAACAAAACTTGTACGGTAATATTGTGAAAACATCACAATATTAAAAGTTGTCTGACAATTATAATTGTATTAGAATTAAAAGAGAGTTGAATATTACATTACTATTTCTTCCATACATCTTCTTGAAAATCTTATGGTCAAAAGCAACCTGTAATTATATTAATTAAAAAAAAGTATTCAGGAAGCACAAAGGAAGCTAGAGTAACTGGTATACAATCACCACTGATTTTCCAGGATGCTCTTCATTATTACCAGCTACTGCTTGAAGCACTAGAATTAGGAGGGTATATATTGTTATGGTGCTATTGGTTTCCAAGCATCATATGTACATACATGGTTTTATCTTTTGTCAGCAATCTTCCATGGTTCCTGGATAGCAGCCTTCTCCAGTGGAAGGAAGAATCAGCCACAGCTTTCTGTGGTATACATACCCTTCTGAATCCCAACTAAGGTATACTCTCTGCATTGATAAGACCATAAGGACTAATCTTACATTAACATAAAATCCATCGAAGATAAGAACTGTCACATGTTTTTCTTAATGTTGGTATGATATATACGAAGTCAAGAAGACCAGGGAAAGTAAGGTGCTTCAAAGCCATATGAAATGAATAGAGGTACCTAATGGAAAATGCAGTGTGGATAGATTTGCAACTCACATGTAAAAAATGTGTTAATGTAGGCTGAAAGGTGCATATTTCATGAGCCATAAAAAATAATGAAAATAGCACATAGCTATTTATGAAATGATCTGAACTCATGTTTAATATGCATAATATAAAAAGGGATCTGATTTATGATATGTCTTTTTATTAAACACTATATATTCATTTACAGTTGCATACTAAACAGCAAATTTGAACTAGAATATATAATTCACTAAGTGACAAGCATAGAGACTCCTGCCCTAAATTAAAAATAATTTTGATTTTTTTATTCATCTTTATGATAGTATACTTGATAGTTTGGTAATTAGAAATATTTTTATAGAAAATGCAATTGTAATTTTTAAAAGTATTCAACTGCACTTTGTATGTAAAATCTGTTGTAAGTCTTTTTCTTCAATGTGGATTTGTTGAATTTAATATTCAACGGCTTCTTTATACAACAAATGCTAAAAACAAAAATGTCATTTGCAAATTTGCAAGGAACCAATTTAGCATCATTTCTTAATCTTCCATGCTTTCCAAATCTCTTATTTCACTTTTCATTCTGGCAACACTCTGAAAATGTCACTAAGACTTGGTAAAGGCAATCTGTAACTATCAGCTACTTATTTAGCTATTGTTATTGGTAATTATTTTGACTGTGGTAACCACAGTGAGTCAATAGATGGCACCCCTTCTCTTAGTAAGAGAGTAAAATGAATAAAATTTACAAAGTCTCAGAAATAACAAATATGTTCTATTGATCTGAAACATTCATAGCAATTAATTAGAGATATTTTGCTTATGCATGAAAAAAAAACCCCACACATTTTATATAACCCTTTTGATAAACATGCATAATAAGTAGGATTATAAGATTATCTACATGGTATATATTTGTATGTTACGCTAAATTTGTTCTCCTTATGCAGATTTCCTATATGCTTCATATTCTGGATTATTACAAAATATTACAATCTGATTCAACTGTACTTAAAGAGACAATTGTGGAATATATTGTTTTAACATATATTCAAATATGAATCAATATTTATTTCATAATTTTGAGGGATAATGTTAATATGTCCATGGTATATCGATATAAACAGCTTCACATTTTGTATTTTAACTTTCATTTTATGATGTTCTTTGAAAACAATTTAGATAGATAATACATTATTTTAAATGTATTTGCAATTCCTTGTGTGTGTCCAATCACATTTGGCTAATAAAGAATATTATTCTATTGTATCAATATTGAAACCAACAAAAAATATAAAGCCCTTTATCAGAATCACACAATCAGATTGTATTCTTTCATCTCACAATCCAAAAGATAATATGAGTACTAAATGAAAGCTTACTAATTCATCTAAAATTAGTTGAGGCAACTTTTTTTAAAAAGCTTTATTTAGAAGTAATACTTCTTGCAGCCTTAAGATTAAAATAGCCAAATAATAATCTAAGTAGTTTCTCTATATTAAATTCCTATTTAAACAGAGAAGCTACATCACAATTTCTTGAAAACCTCAGACATACTATATAGTAATGTCATCTCTGATTCTGTAAAGAAATGCACAATCAAGGAAATTTCAGAAATGTTTTATTGTAAAAAGTATATAAGATTAAAAAGAAATAGGTCATACAAAAATATAGAGAAAAATAGGGGAATTCAAAATCACTGTTGTGGTCATATGTATCATCCATCTATCAACTATATTTTATTCTGAGGGGAAAAAAAGCAAATAAGTTATGTTCTTGGGCCAGCTCATCTCTTTATGATCTGCCAACAGCCATTCCAATTCCCCATGAGAAATTTAGATATAGTTAGGTAAATTATGAAGCCAAACAGAACTTTGCATGAAGTTTACCACAAATATATTTAACACTATTAATAGTCAGTTAAAGTGAAAGTTTTGTAGTTCAGTTTGACTGTGTTTTATAAACTTCCTCATAAACAGATATTAAAATTTTGTTTTATTTCTAATTTTGGTGTCTCATCAAAGTAACTAATTACAAGAACAGTGAAACTATACAGTTCCAGTAGTGTCCACGATTCACTTACTGATATTGTTGGTGTTTAAAGGAGACATTTTATTCTTGTTATGTACTGCTGAAGAAGCTATAAGCAGCAAACTGACATGGTAATACCATAGGTAATTTCTATTATACAAACTGTTTAGAAGAACAAGGCAGAAAAAAATAGCATAGGATATTCTAGCATTCTTCGATTCTAACTCTCATCAGATATTTTATTAACTTTCTTCAAAAGATCCTTGTTTCTATTTTATGGTCAGCAGTTCACAGAAGAGTAAATAGGCCCAGTGTAGGACAAAATAAAAAGGTGTTTCTACTTACTGTTAGGTGATACTGCCTCCATATTTCTGGGCAAGCCTGGAAAATAAAAATATTGATCAGCTGGGAGCATGAAACAAGGTGCTTTACAGCCTGTTGATTTTGGCATAACACAGTAACCACTGGTGTCGGTCACAGGAAAATAAGAAGCTTAACTGAGAGGGTCTGCATTTCAGCTTCAAAAACCTGGCTAGACAGTTTAATTGAATTTTACACTGGTTTAACACACTCCCTGCCATTGTCAGAAAGCCAGCAACAGTTTCTCCCCCTTTCTTTTTGCTAAAGTTTAGAACTCTTGAAGACAAGTCTATAACAATCCCAAAATGTAAATAAATGCCAGAGATGTTCAACTTTTAAGGCTGGCATGATACACTACTTAAGAGATTAATTTATATATTTTCATTTAATCATTATTCTGTTTTTGAATACAATTTTAATTTTAATCAAAATATTGCATGTAGTTATGCTTTTCTGCTTGCGGTTTTACAATTCCTGCATTATTCCTCTTTGTTCTACCTCACAGAACTTGCATTGCAAAATAAGGCACATCTGAATGCACAGAATAAGACTCTCTAGAGTACAACTATAAGAAAATACACAAAATGCTATTTAACACCATCTATTTCCTTCTCACTATAATTTTCACATTAGAAGCAGAATATGGAATTTTCAAATAAAACCAGCCTTTCCATTTCAAACTTTATAAAATAGCTGTTTTGATGTTGCTCTACAATACTTTCATTTTCCATTACTAATAGGACTAAACTTTCTGTATCATTGCAACAAGGTTTATAAAAATACATATTATAAAAACCATTCTAAAATAATCATACAATTTTCTTCTAATAATTGTAGTTTAAGATAAACTAAGAGGTTTTAAGCAATTTATATGTATTTTTAAAAAAATATATAATGGAGTACTTTCTTTCTCATCCAAACGCAAATCTTTGGTGTTTTTTTAGAGTTTACATCATTAGAAGAGGAACTGTAAGCTACACTCAATATCCCTCTGGACATAAAGGAAAGAGGTGTTGTCTATTTTGTATATGCACACATATATGCATGCTTTTATACACAGACACACAAACACCCCTTTGCGATAAAGAAGATATTAAACAATAAACATGTCTGAAACAAACAATAAACAAATCTACTCTTTTCCTCAATTGATCATGAAATCAGAACTAAACTGTGAGTCCCCATTTCATCCTACAATACAATAGTATTCTACTACTTTCAAGCTTTAAATGGATTTTACTGTTGGTAACATTTTCACTGGCTTACCATAGTGATAAACAAGCAGTTATTTATCCATTAGCTCTGGTCTTGATCACTGCATTGTTCTCAATGATAATTTGGCTGAAAAACTATTGGCAATGAATGGTCTGATGCAAAAATGGCATTTTGATAGTATGTGTCTCAGTCTATTTATAATAATAAAGTTTGCTCTAGGAAATATATTACTTCTAACATTAGGAGACCAAATATTAACATTATACAATGTTGTTATGTTGAAATAAATTAGAGACTTCAAAAAATAATAATGAAACATTTATTAGAAAATGGCTAAATTTCCTAACTGTATTTGTTTAGCCCATGAGGAAAAATAAAATAAAATTAAATCCACACAATAAACAAAATTATCCAGATCTAAATCTCATTCAGTATTTTTCACTATTTTAGTTCCAAGTAAAGGATACATTAAGATTCAAGATAGCATTTAATGTTAAGTACAATGTGGCTTAACTCTAATCTAATGTATTTAGGATTGAATATCCTGAGAGATGTTTCAAAAATGTTTTTTTCAAAATGACACATATAAATCTGAGATCAGTTCATTCTTTGCATTAGCTTCAAAACTAATTTGCATTGTTCCCTTAACACTGAAATACTAAATAATTGCTATAGTTTATGGATTGTTTAATTGATGCAGAATTGCTTGCTATGGAAGATAGTACCTCTAAATCTGGAAACACCTGAATATCTGATTAAATATAAATTGTTCTCATAGGTGAAAAACTGTTACGGAATTTCTCTACTTTAGAGTATTCCATTTATTTTCTGGCTCAGTGGTGCAACTGAACTAACATCTAGTTCTATATAAATAAAATGCCTATTCTTCACAACAAACACACTTCTGGATCTCTGTAAAATGATGATCAGTTTGCTTCTTTAGTTTTGCACAACTGGAAATTCCAAATATTTATCCTATCAGTAACTGATGAGCATTCATAAAAATAAAGCACAGATCATCCCACTTTGTCACACAAGATGATTCAAGAGTTTATATTGTTCCATTTGACCCATATTGAATTTTATCATGTGCTAATTATTGTTTTATGAGAACAACGGCTTAGTGCATCTGTTGTTTAATTCCCACTTCCCTATTCTCAAATGTGAACATCAAAGAAAATAAAACACTCAATCTTAAACAGCCCCTGACAGCAGACCAAGACTCAAGTGCTCAATAGACAAGGCCCTTGCCACCAGTTCTCATATTTCCACAACAATGAACAAACACAAAAACAGCACTAAGCGGCCTTTCCTCCTTTTCAGCTCCCCTTGGCCAGTTGTCTGCCTTGTACCAGAGAGAACCCTTGAACACAACCCTGCTGGGAACACAACACAGGAGAAAGGATTAGCCTTACTAACATGCTAGCATTTGCAAAAGTGAAGGGGAAAAAAACATCCCTCCACCAAGACTATATTTGGTATATGAATAACCAAAATGTATGAGCTGACAAGAGACCAGGACAGGCCTATGACTCCCCGGGAGAAAATGTAGCTGTGATGAGTGACAGGGCTTTCAGGAAATATGTTCACAATCACAGACAGTGAAGGCCATGACCTAGATCGTTTAAGAGCTTGTCTTGTCAAATTATCAAAAGCTTCTTCCTCTCTGAATAAAGAGTGACATAAGTGAGTGTCAGAAAGCTGCAGGCTGACAAGCCAAGCATACAATAACAGAATGCACGTCACATACTTGCCGAACACCGCCACTGCTAGCGGCAAATCTTAATGAGAGTGCGGCTGGCCCAGGAGACTTGGGTCCCTGCTGGCACAGCTACTCATCTCACAAAAATCCTTCAGCTCCAAGTCAGTTATGGCCTGACACAATGACTACAATTACTAAACACAACTTTTTAACAGAATTCTCTTGTGCTTTGTCAAGAGCTGCTGTTAAGAGCTGCCCCATTGCAAGCCACTGCAGCAAACAAAAGATTTACTAATACAAGCCATATTAATTACCTTTGCATGACAGTTAACAGGAAGGGAGCAGATTAAAGTCATCAATAAAACATTTCAGGACACCCTATCAACAGCTTGCCCCAGATAACCCTTCCTCAACTTAGATTCACTAAAAGAAGCAGAGAATGCTAAAAGCACCCTTTAAAAATAGGATTCATTGTAATTGTTATATTCGGAGGAAATTTCAAAATACACACAGGTATAGGCCCCAGGTCATTACAGGGAATGGTAAGTGCTTTACATAGATATGTGCAGCTTGTTCCCCTCCTTTCAGTCAAGTTTGTGTTTATACCTGGAGCAGGCAGAAGGAAGAAAGAGGACATGGTGGTTATTGAGAACACATTCCTCTAAATACTTACTGTAACATGCTAAATGTTCACACACCATAACCAAGGGAGAGGGAAAGAAATTGGTACCTGCTCTCTTATGCATTACAGCAATGTCTCTGCATACAAGGGACTATACTTGCCATAGCGTTCCCATCTAGATATATAATTCCACTGAAAATCTGTTTTGTTCTGTCCACAGCTATGTAACTGTAACAGTAAACTGCAAACTCAGTGCTCAAGAGGCCTATAGCACTGCAGTTTAGATATGATCTGTAGCTTCCATGGGAGACCACTGGAAAGCCTATCAATGTTAACTGTAGGACGAAGACAATTCTCGTATGTGTTCTAATCTGTCAATGAAGGTTCTCAGCCATCCAGGTAGAGTTGTCTGGAAGTTGGGTCATAGCAATTGGACTATCTTTTCTTTTTTTGGTTTGAAATGTTTCACTGCTTATCCAAGTAGCTTCTTCAGTCTGAGCAAGTTGGTTAGAAGGATCCCATAGGGGTTCTGATTGCCCACAACAGAAATTTCCATTTGCCTATATCAACTTCAATTCCACTAACATTTGCATATTAGATTGTAATAAGGCTCTACAATCCTCGGGGGCTGATAAGCACATCAGGATTGTTGAAACATGTTATGATTGCTCTGGTAAAATAGATTTGGATGGGCTTGCCCTTTCAGAAAATATTACAGAACTATAACTACTTACCAGATTTATGGGAATGCTTACTTGTCCTTCCCTTTGCTTACATTTGTTTCCTCTCTGGGCAGGTGAACATACCTGTCAACCATTTTTATTGTCTCAAAAGTTTATGGGCTTATTTGGGACATCGAGGAATTTTGAGAAATAAGAAGAGTCTGGCACTTTGCTTTGCAGTTTCTCATAGGAAAAGAACTAAAGTCAAGCAGGAAGAGGAGTCAAGGCAATAAAGGATTATGTTGGCACATTGGCAAGAGTACTTCAGGCACCATGTTGGGGATCCCAGAATTATATTGATGCCCAATTCTGCAAAATTCAAATACAGTGCTTAGGAGCTAATTATAAAGCAAACAGAACAGATTCAGAAAATTACCCAGCTAAGTAATATAAATCAGGCAGCGACAGCTACAAACACCTAAGCAAAAGATCCAAATAACCATAAGATGAAGCATAAATTATATTTGCACTGTTATTTTATCAGTGCTCAAGGAACCTTCTTCTCAATGTAACCCCACAAAGTTATGGAGTTTGTATTAGAATATGAATCCAGAGAAAGCCTAGGAAACTAATAGCATCTTGTGAAAGAGCATGTGAAGAATTCTGTAAAAGATGTTGCATGCATGGAAGATCCTTTCTATTTCTAGGCTCACTTTTCCCAACTTGCACTCCTCAGCTAAGTAGAGCAGTCCTTTTGTGGGTATAAAATCACTTTTTTATCCAAGCCACATGGTGAAAATATTACAATATTTTGAGCAGGAAAATCTTAAAACAGAAGATAAATATATCTGAATGTTTGGAATGCTGAATGCATCTGATTTTTAGAAAATTTGTTATACAGACTGTATTAAATCTTAAGATTTCATTATGTTTATTTTTAGACAAGTAATATTTCATCAACAATTAACAATGCATTAAACACTATGGAATGCTGCAAGACTATTTTTTGCAAATGTTACTGAAATAATAGATTTTGTTCTCAAATAAATATGCTTATAAATATTAAGAAGGAAATATACACTGCCAGAAAAAAATGCATTTTCAATCATTTCCTATGTATTACTCTCTGGAAATTCTATCATTCATTTCATATATATTTTTCCATTTTTATCCTGTTATATTCTTATAATGCATGCTTTCAAATATCATGTTGTTTTAGAAACAAGTTTGAGGAAGAATTAAAAATAGTGTTTGAATGAATTTTGCATGCATAGTTTAAAATAATTTTCCAGAAAGGATGCTGAGTTTGATTAGGAGGATTAGGCTTTAAACTGAATCATGAACAAGTTGGTGGCAAAACTGAGATGTAAAGACACAATTTATATGTTGCTGGAAAAAACTAGTAAAACTAATTTAAAAATCAAGGAAGAAACTGGCAAATTCCTATTGAAAATATAGGAATAAAAATTGTAACTTTTAATGCAAGAGGATAAATATAATCTGACGAATACAAGATATTATGAGATGACTCATAATTGGTTTGTTATGGCCTAAATACTACACAAATAAAATTTGAATTTTGATCCCATAATTAGCATTAGTTTGGCAGTGAAGAATGAAACTTGTTCAAAATAAACAGAAAGGGGGAGGGGGAAAGCAAAAGATGAACTACAATGTTTACTTAAATTACATGTTTAGAAAAGTAGGAAAACTGAGAAGCCCATTGGTAAATCCAAATTAAAGTAAGTGGAGGAACGGACAAAATAATGGTTGATGTCTATTACTATCAGCCAACAAAGTACGTGTGGATTGTGTGCTTTTTTAAAAAAGGAAACTGCAGATCTTTTAGAGAGGTGTGAAGGGATTTTTAATTGCATTGACATCTGTTAGAAAGCAATCTCTGCCAAGACTGGTCTCACAAGGAAATTTTGACTGGCCTGGCTAACAGCTTTCTCCATCAGTAGCTGAAAGAAGGCACAAGGGGATCAACTCTCCTTGACGTGATTCTAACCAATGAAAAGCATTTTTGTTAATGATATGGAAATAATGACCAGACAGGACTGGAGTTCTTGATTTTATAGAAAACTATATCTGAGCATATCAGTAAATACATAATTTAGATTTCAAGAAAGTAAATTTTAGTAGAACAGTAAGTAAGTACTTTTTAATAAAGCAGTAATACCTAAGATTTTCCTAATTGGAAAAGATGGACAGAAATTCTGAAAAAAATCTAAATTACATAGGATGTGAAAAGAAAACAATATTACAGTATTTGAGTTTGAAAAAAATGCTAATAATAAAAAGGATTTAAATGAAGGGGGGAAGAAACAGTAAACTTGAAAGCAAATTGAAGATATAAGATTGTCACTAAAGTTGATAGTGCATCTACATCTGCTGAATGAGTGAAGATCTTATTCATTCATACAGTCATATGAATTAAATATTATAAAGAAAGATTAGGTAAAATACCAGATGGCTGGAGGGGGCTAGGGTACTATCATCACAATTATTACAAGTTGGGAACAAGTCTTATCAGTCTAAGTGCATCTTATTTACAGATAAGGTAATTTGCTTGATAAAAAGTATGGGATTTTTTCACACATATACTGATTAGCCAACCAATTGGTTTATTTAATATTATTGGATTTATAACCACTCAAATCACAGATGCCTCCAAGCAGCATGCATTTTAAAACTAGAAAGCAATAAAAAGAAAAAGGAAAAAAATGTCTTGAGAAACAAATCCAACACACCAGAAAAAGAAAACCAAGAGAGTTTGACACCAATTCACTCCAGCCTAGAAGCAAAGCCAGATTGTCAAGGATTTTTGGAATATCTATAGAGTGGGTACCATATGAATCTTGGAGAGAATGCTATTTCAAAGGACAGGTGTTGCAATCATATATGATAATGGAAGGGACTTCCATGAGTAACTACAGTATAATGCACAAGCTAAAGAAAAGCTATTCAAGGATGCCTAAGTGGCATAATGAAAATGAGAGAAAATCAGAGAAGGGTTATATTTAATGAAAGGGACAAATGAAAAACAGCATTTGAAAATTATGTTCTAATTTGCATTGAACTATCAGTTTTCATAGCTATCTTCACAAGAACTTACATCATTTTACTATTTTCCTATATTAGGAAATCTTTACAATGTATCATTCCTTCCAAAGCATAATGTAGTAAAAAAAAAAAGTCAATTTCATGTTTGCAAAAATCAACATTCACCAATTTCATGTTTGTAAAAACAAACATTCACATTCCCTTTAATCAAACTTATATATGTTAACTTTTCACACTTCATCACAGAAACTGAAAAAGAAATTAATTTGAACATAGGAATACAAAAGACTATATACCCCTTTGTATTTTAAAGGAAATGTTCTGGAATCTCCAATATAAAGACAGACTTGAAAAATGTGTACATGTAGCTAAATTTCCAGAGATAAACGACTGAACATCAGTACCATGAACAGCAGCTAACCTTCTCAGTTATTATTATAAGAAAAAATATTACAAACTGAGACTATGAAAACACATACACACACATACACAATGTGCCTAATCAGCTTTTCTTAGCACATCGTTTTTAGAAGAGAATATGCAAGCTCTTTATCTGGCAAATCTGTGCCACAAAGGTCTGGCTGATGAATATCACATGGCAACCAACTTTTGCTATGAATTTTGATGAGATATGTAAATAAATGGCATCTATTAACTTCCTCAGCATTATTTGTTTCTGGTCAGAGATCTGTTAGAATAATGTAATTATATGCCATGCAAAACTAAACAATTTGGACCCTAGGAAAAAATGAAAATAATAATTAGATTATTTTTTATCAGCTTTATTATTATTGCATTCTGAATGTTTTAAATCATATATACTTAATAATCCGTAAAACAACTGCTTAAAGAATGCTGGTATCATTCCCATTGGGAAGAATGAAATGGGAGGTGTGCCGTTATGTTCTCATAGTGAAATTTACTCTCTTAGCCTCTATATTAAACCTGTAATCAATATACATTTTAAAATATAATGCATATATTGTGTTTTTGCAAGTTTTTCTATAGTTATTAATATGCAAGAAAGGCAAACTGCATTTCTAATGTATTCATAAAGGATAGGCTTGTCTGTAAATTTTATATAATTTGAAATCATTTCTGTTAATAACAAAAATAAAACACCAGGTCGAAACTTCATTTAATGAATTATACAGTGTGCTATGTCATAGAAATGAATGCATTTCAGAAATAAAAATATGATGTAAACAACAATTTAGCACTCTAGTACTTATTGGTAGTGCTTTTGTATTTCTATTTTTGCATTCTTTTTTATTATTTTTATATATATTTATGATGCAGAAAATATTAATTTTGTACATCTAAATTGTGTCTTCAGACAAATCTATGCTAAGTGACCAGCAATGGATAAACAGGAATGCAGATTATACATACAAGTCATTCTGGGGGGAAAAGAAAGAGAAAAAAATAATCACTGGGTAGTTTCTGTTAACAATGTACTCACATCTGCATAATGACCTCTCATATCACAGCGGTTGCAATGTTTTTTCCAGTACATTCTCTCAGGGCACTCTCTAGAGCAGTGTCCTGGCAAACAACAATTCAAACAAAATCGTTCTGGACAGCTGTTTTGTAGGTGACCTCTCTCTGCACAAAGACAACAGGGTGGAATTTTCTGCAAAATAAACGCAAAGAAACAAAAGTGATCAAACCTTTATAGAATCAGAGGAATTTAAATTAAGTAAAATAAACAAGGCACTTCCATTTATATTTCACAGAGAATTTCTAAGTCCTTCGCTTAAGACCTACTGTACTATTTCATAAATTCATGCATTGCCTACACAAGGAAGCCCTCAATTAATAATTAAAACATAAGGAAAAATGAAACAGCAGGACAATAAATAAAGAGCATAAGGTAAACAACCAGTAGCTAATGAATAAAATCATCTACAGTACTGCTAAGCACAAGGGGTCCTTCCCAAAATTCCACCAACAAGACCAATCTGCTTGAAAAAAAGTAGTTTCTTAGACCAGTGTTCCTCAGACTGGGCAAATTTAACATACATGGAATTCAACTACCAGAATCCCCCAGCTATTACTTAAGATGTAGATAACAGTACTGTAGAAAGCACTTGAAAGAAGTGGTTTGCAAAGTGCATTGCTGTGATTGGAGCACCTTTCTTGAAAACATTAAAGCAGCCGTGTCCTTTGCAAACCTTATGCCAAAGCTTTGAAAGCTGGCCCCAGATGACACATATGTATGGATATAGAGATAACACTTCCACTGGAACTGCTAGTGAAGGGCACTGGTAGAACCTGCTCACACCCACAGATATAGCAGGGGCACCTTTCAAAGCAGTGAGGTCAGGCACCAGCCTTGCCAAGGATCCCAACTGCTGTAATGCTTCAAAGAGAGATGTTTTCATTTCTACTAACCTGTTTTGAAATGTCTTTCTATGACAAGAACACATGAATTTGTATCTAATAGCAATCAGGAAAGCTCCCAATAACTGATTATGCCAATGCATTGTCTTATCATTCTGCAATGCTCTATATACTTTTGCTCACCACTCAATTTGCCACATTGTTTAATTTTTTTGTTCTTTAAATGTCTCGTGGTATTAATGATATTAGTGCTTTGTACTCATAGTGAAATTTTACAGTTCTATTTCCACCATCATCTTTCAGCCAATGAGCATACAACTAATAAAATGTATACATACTGGTTAAATCTATCCTGGAGATATTTAAACACGTATGTCTTTGCTATTACCCTGATAAAAAATTATTAGCACTGGGTTGCCCACACTATGCACAATACTATGGATTCTGTAGGAGGAATTGTCTCATCAGCTCAGTGGACATTTTTTCCCTATTCTTCTAGGCATGCAGATAGAAATAGAAAATATGTGCAAGGTGTACACGGTACAAGGTGTAAAAGCTGTGTTTTATCATTTGCTTCCTCAATGAGGGCAGAGTGGGGACTAATTATAGGACGCATGCCTGTATCTCACTTTCTCACAAGCCCTATTGTTCTGTCCACTCATTCACTAAAGTGGGGGAAAGAGAAAAGAAATCTTCAGCGAGCAGGTGGTAATCCTCAGCATGGGCCACTGGGTCTCTCTTGATTGGATTATATTGCTGAGAGCCACTGAAGAAAGCACCAACTTCAACTACTCCATCTCCTCTCTTACAAGGGAATCACGCTCCTAACACCTTCTGATTAATCTCTAGGATAGGATCCACAATGCAAAGAAATTAGCAGGTAATGTTCCTTGGGTCTAAACTGCCAGTGCAGTTGAGAGCATGGAAATTGCTTTTTTTTCTCTCTCTCTCTCTTTCTCAAAACGCCAGCCAGTAAAATTATTTCAGCGCCTTAAAGTCTGAAAGTCTCAGTCAGTAATAAAACAAATTGAAATACTACATTTACCTTTGGGGCAGGACAATTTTTTGATAAATGACCTCGTTTATCACAATTTCTGCAAGTGACGTTTTTGTCCGCTGTGTAGTATCTGTTGTTATGTCGCACTGAAACATAATTACCAATCTGTGCCTGAGGAAACAAAAGGATTTTTATTAGAAGTTGAAAGCTTAATGTTTTGCCACCCTAAGCTTTTATAACAATCAAGCCTAAGATATTGAATTTTTAAAAGAAAGATGTTTATTTTTATAGTATATTTATACACCCTCTAGAGTCAAGATAGGCTTCCTATCTGTAAATAAGTATCATATAAATATTTTTGCAGGACTGTATTAAGTCCTTTTCAAAGTAGTTTTTAGAAGTTACTTTTTTTCTAAAACTTTTAATCAATATTATTGACAATATTGGAAAATAATGACATCTTTTGCAAAATACATTTAATTGAGGAAATAATTAATCTATCAATGAACGAAGAGATGAACTTATTAAATTGCATACATAAAGTGCCATGAAGAAGCATCCACTGAATTGCCAACAAAAAAATATCCTTGATCAGAAATAGATCAGAAATTTACAAGTTGGTCAATATACCTTGCTATTCAAATAAAACTGAAAATTGAAAGCTAGACTAATGACTTTAGGGGAAAAAATCAAGTATTTCTTTTTCCAAATATAAAAAGCTTGAGGATGACTTTTCTCAAGAAACAAAAGTATTATTCTATATTTCCATTTATTGCTATATTTTAGTTCCAAATATTTCTGATATTCCATGGTTTAAGTTAATACTCCAATTTCTTATTATACACCATCTGCATTTTACATCTGTGCACACAGCTCCTTGACCTTTAGTTTTAAGCCCTAATACCTGGCTCAGTTTGTGCTCCTCTAATTAAATAACATGGTCACTATCAACTATAGCCTTTTGCATTAGAAAGCCAGTAGGTGCCCATTTACTGCCATTGACTATTCTGCATCACCCACATAAATAATAAATTATCCCTAAGAAATCTTACTAGCTATGATTTTTTTTTAAAGGAAAGAAATGAAACCATGATTGGAAGCTAGAAAAAAAGGCAGTTGCTACATTTGGGCAGATGTTAGTTTATTCTAGACATTCTGCCATTCAGTTCTCTGCCAGACCAAGTCAAGCAGAACTCCTAAGTGGAGTGAGCAATAGCAGGTGTGTGTGTGTGTGTGTGTGTGTGTGTGTGTGTGTGTGTGTGTGTAAAATCTGCAAGAAAATTCACCTGTAATGAAGCAGAACATTCCTCCATCACCTTTTCTGCCTTCTTCCCATCTCTCTCAGCTTACAGTGCCACAACCCATGCCACTGTTTCAATTCTTATATGAAAGTATTTTTTTAAATCTTTATGTGGTGATTAAGGAAAATAATAAATCTGTTAATAGCTACTCATGCTATTATGTAGACTACTTCCTTGATCATTGATGGAGTGGTTTTTTTTTTAAAGAACACAGCTGACAAGGAAAAAAGGAGACTGAAAAATTCAACTTCAGCCTGGTTCCCTAAAGTGATGAATACTAGAATCCAACCTTATGGTTACAGTCCAGTTCACACTGGCCTTTTACCATGAACAGTGAGAGAGAAATTATGTAACAGGAATTGGGTTCCTGTCTGTCAGCATGATAATTCTGTGAAGATAGGCTAGACTAAATATAATGTTCTAGGAGAAACTAGCAAAATAAAAGAGTTTGAATATGGACAGGATCTGCTGGAGCTAAGGAGAGAGGGGGAAAAAGACAACAAAATCCCCCATTGAATCCCTATGGGAGAAGTAGTTGTGTATGCTGCCAACTGCTTTATTTTTAAGCTCCTCCCTCCTGGTCGTATGACTCAGAATAGAGTTGATAGTTAAGTGGTTGGAAAGAATACCAGAAGTCACAGTTTGCAAGAGTTCCTTATTTTATTTTATCTAATTATTTTATTTTGTGGGGGATGGGGGTTAAGCAGATTTTGCACCGCTTACCTTTACAGTATAATGCAGCTTGGTTGGCTTGCCTGGCTTGTCCAAATTGATTAGAAATGGCGGCAGATGTCTCAGACTTTGCAACAGGTATAAAACATTAGTAATGTACTGACTTCTTGTGTAGACATTATTCTTTCAATCTGTATTCAGACCTTAATCTGGGAATAGAATCAGCAAACGGCTGATATATTACTTTCTGTAACAGGCAAAGGGAAGCCAACTTCATTGATTCGGCTTGATCTTTCTGAGATATTTTATATCATCTGCCAAGGTGTTCTGGACCATTTCCATGAGTTGGGAGTTTAGTATGGTAGTTCCACTTTAACTTGAAGGAGTGTTCTCAGACATACTCATGAATACCTTTGCCAAGACTGGCCATGAATCATCTTACAGGTGCTTGTGATTTGGTGTTCTCTGTAGTGGAGCCTATCAACGTAGGCTTTATGTCCTGAAATTCATGAGTTGAATTGTCTCCTAATGGGTTTGTTTCAAAGACCTATATTTTCACCAGGTCTTTCTCATGAATACCATTTGATGGTTTTGTTTTAATTTGACTCTATTGCTCCTTTTAATTAATATATTTCACACTTCTTACATTTTCTGCTTTGTTATTATATTTTAATAAGCGTTGGGACCTAATTGTCTGGGAAGCAGTTTAGCAATTTGAATAAATGAATGGGATCAGAACCAATCATTGGAGAACTAACTTTGGAGGCTAGGGATGGATCAATTCCTGAAGAAAACAGGAATCTCTATAGCAGTCCCTCTATGCAGGAATGAAAGATCAGTTGAGAATATCCTCAAGAGTGACTACAGCCAAATAATTCTGCAATGTTCTGGAGAATGTACCAGATGAAAGGGCTGACCATTCTGTCAAAGCTCTAGTTTTTGCTAAGGAATAAATAGCAGAAGTTTCTTAAAAAGACATTACAATATCACTTTTGAACTCCCTTCCTCTGACCACAAGAAATTCAGAAAGTATCTTTTCTGAGAATTCCAAGCACAGAAACAAGTCAATTTATGACAAGGTCAGGCAGCATAAATCTCATAGTAAATCAACAACACATACATTAGAGAAGCATTTGTTAGCAGCAAATATATTTATTTTCCATCATTGCACTGCATTTGCTATGACATTTATGTTATAAACTGCCTGTTTCAATGCTTGGACTCCTCAGTTAATTGCCCAACAGAATTTTCTTGAGGGGTGAGTAGACTTTGAGGACCATCTCATTCACAAACACTTCAGACTTTATGCCACAGAAATGAAAGACCAGTTTCCAAGGTCAAGATGATGCTTGATGCTGTTATGTTTAGTAAGAATTCGTAGAAAGAGTCCTCGACTTACAACAGTTCATTAAGTAACTGTTCAAAGTTACAATGGCATTGAAAAAAGTGATTTATGCCATTTTTCATACTTTATGACCATTGCCGCATCCCCAAGGTCATGTGATCAAATTTCTGACACTTGGCAACTGACTCATATTTATGACGGTTGCAGTGTCCCGGGGTCATGTGATCACCTTTTGTGACCTTCTGACAAGCAAAGTCAATGGGGAAGCCAGATTCACTTGGCAACCATGTTACTAACTTAAGAAGTGCAGTGATTCACTTAACAAATGTGGCAGAAAACAACATAAAATGGGGCCAATCTCACTTATCAACTATCTTGTTTAGCAACAGAAATTTTGGGCTCAAATGTGGTCCTAAGTGAAGGACTACTTGTATAGGGCATTCAGGAAGCAGTTAATGCCTTGTTACTGGAGGCATTAAGTTGTTTTCCTTGTCTCCCTTTCTCAGGTGTGTGTGGTTGTGTGTGTGAGGGAGGGAGGGAGGAGAGAGAGGGGAGAGGGATGGAGAGAGAGAGAGAGAGAGAGAGAGAGAGAGAGAGAGAGAGAGAGA